ATAAATTACGTGAAATCTACTAGTTTAAAAAAAAATTGTTCATAACCTTTTTAAAGAGCTAATTTCTAACCACATACTTTGTGTAAGCACAAATCTCTAGTTGAATGATCTAGTTTCGAAATGTTAACTTAGTGATTTTTTAATTTAAGAAGAGTTCGTCGAAAATGTAACTAGCACCATATTATTTGCTACATGGCTACATTACGTTTATGAGGGATTTTTTCTCTATTTAGAAACTGGATTTATCCACTTTCTCGTTATTAGGGCATGGCAATAAGTTTTCCCGCCGAAAATTTGCCAGTATTACATAACATACTGCGTAAGAAATAGCGAGAAAGTAAAAACGGATAGTACGTATATTTTGGATCTACCACCATATTTTTCACCGTCTTTTAAAACATATGAGAAGAAATTTTAAAGAAAAAATCGAAGCGGTTTTTGAGGAAAAATGTTTATTAAATTAAAATGCCTACATATTGCGCAAAATTATCCGAAAACATCTCGCATTTTAAAAAATTGAACAATACCTTATTTCAAGATCTATCTTTAAAGAAGAGATTTCATTACGAAAAAAATTATCTTTAGTATTATAGTTGTAGGAAGACGCCCAAATATTGCACTTTTCCAATTTTTGAAAAGTCAGGCTTTTTAACAAACGAGACCTGCACAATTCTCGTAGGGCCCTTTTTCGCTTTCCGAGGAAAAAGTTTAATTAAAAAAATTAGAGCATTGAAATTTCAAAATTTTGAAAACGTTTTGAGTCTTCGCGTAAAGTACCCTAAAAAAATCAAAATATCCGATTGAAACTCTCCAAAACCTTGCGTCCATTGAGGTTGATCGGGAATTATCAATTTGGAGAAAATCCGTTGACCGGTTTAGGCGCTAGCGTTGACCACACAGACAGATGGACGGGGCCGTTTTGCCGTCAATCGATTTTTCCGTATCCACTTTTTCGATACTATGGTCCAGCAAGAATAGTTTTTCTGCCGAAAATTTGCCGTTTTTCGGCGCATGATTACATAACTTTCTCTTTGTAAAGACGAAAAAGTAAAAATAAGATCTTTTAATATGGTCATATACAATTTTGTGAAGAAATGAGTAGCTTTCATATAATTTCCTGCTTGAAATTAATGCAATTTATTAAAAAATACATTTATTCAAAGACGACTCCAACTTTCTTCTTTAAATTTTTCCTCGTATAGAGCAAAGGTTGTTTAAATACTGACTTTGGTTTAATTTTCGTTGAAATTCCAGAAATACCGAAAATTGCAAAAAATTGAAATAATGCAAGGACGTATGCCATTTTAGCACCACTAGTTCTTCGACGCTTTCATTTTACTTTTTTATTTGTCACTTTCTCTTTCAAAAAGAAAAAAAACACGTAAAGCATTACGTAGATAACACGAAATATTAGCGCGTCATGTAAAACCAAAAGGATTCTTTATTTCATTTCTAAATATCATTAGGCCCCTACGTATCTCATGATTTCCGCCTCTACTTACAAAACACCAATCACTCTTATGAAAATCCATACAACGAAACATTGATTTAGAAAATCGAAGTACACGGAACCGTCATATTTTCTTTTCTTAAAGATGTCGCTGCGTACATGAATCAAAATGAAGCACTTTTTATATTTTTCACAAGCGTTTGACTTCTTTGAGAATAACATTTTACTTTTAATGTTACTTTTGCTTGTAAGTCGTGGTATTGCATTATATTGGTTGAATTCGTACCTTAAACACGTATCTCAGAGAGTAGTAATACTGCACAGGAATGAAGCCGCTTCATTTACTCACCGTTCCGATTCGTTGCCAATTGCACACGCGTATTTTGGGATACATAGGGTTCGTTTTTAGGTCATATTCTCTTCCTACTTTCCGAAAACGATGTGCTCTTGCCGTTTCAAAAAAAAAAGAGCAGTTCCATTTGTTGATGATGCGAATATGCTTTGCAACGAAGAAAGAATTCAGTAGTAAACCAGATGTTTCAAAATGGATTCATAATAAAATATACTAATAAAACAAGAGAAATGTTTCAATGACTATCCGTTTAAAATGAACAGTATACTCCATTCAAAATGAACGATGTGCAATGGAGTAACAGTAAAGTAACAACATTTTGTGACTCGCAAACCAGGCGAGGTAGCTCAGGACATCAAGTGATGTCACTGCGGTGCCTCTGACTGGGAGGTCCTAGGGTCGAGTTCTGTGTGGCAGAATTTTCGACACTAGCTGGGTCGGATTCAGTCACTGTCTGGAGGAGAATTCTAGCGGCCGGCTGCTTTGATTTGTAGTTTTCCGTTGTTTCTCCGATCAATACTAGGCGAATGCCGGAGCAGTACCCTAAGAAACAGTTAATGGACCGCGCGTGATCTTTACTTCCGCTTCGTTGTCCTATTCTCACATCTTATTTACACACACTTACATGCACCACACATTAGCAGTGCCCCGCTGGTGGGGGATACCTGGTTGGGAAAATCCCGGTAGCCGACAGGTTGGTTGACAACAGTTCTCGCCTTCCTGCATGGGAAGCCACCGCCACCTCACGAGAAAAAACATACACTACACTTACGAGACTAATGGAATTACTAATCAATGCGTATCTAAAACCGGACATCATTTAAATTAATTAAACATAAAATTAAATTTCCGAAATCTTTTTTAAAATCTAGTCAGCCTACGAACTGCTGACTGTGTACATTTCGCCCTCTGTCTGTCCGTTCAGCCGATTTTCTCCAAAATTCGTATTACCCAATCGATCTGAATAAACTCGAGGCTTTGGAAGTTTCTAAACGATATTTTGATTTTTGAGGGTACTTTACGTTTCTAAACGTCAGGTCGAAATGGATTAATATCGCGCTTATGTAGCGTAGCGTATGAGTGACGACGCGTTAACTCTGAGGATTTGAGTTCGTGTCTTGGAGGGGAAAAGGTTTGCTGGTTGAAAACACTTTTACAGGTTTATGCATTAGTATAATATATCGGTCTGACGTTTTGTAGTTATTCAATTGCTCGCTATCAAGGATGCACATTATTTGTTCTGGCTTCACAACGAAATAGAGGAAGTAAAGTGTTACGTACAGGAACAAAATGTATCCACTTTTTAGATACTATGGCTTCCAGATCAATTTTTATTTAGAAAAATCACCGTTTTTCAGCATCATTACAATTCTGTATCTTAACTACGTACGTAGTAAGGGCAGAAAGTAATACTAGTAGGGCACGTATTTTCTAACATTTAACTTTTGCAATTTTCTAAAAAATAGTGAGAGGTTAAAGAAAATGCGATTTGAGCTAGTTTTAAGCGGCCTTTGATCTATCCGGAGACGAAGTTTAAAGAAAAAAATTGAGCCTGTCTTGAAGATATGTTTCTTAATAAACTGCAATTTTTGAAATTAAAGTTCGCCAAAAAGGGGAGCAGCACCCCTTTTTTTCGACTTTGATACGTATAAGGAAAAAATTTAAAGAAAAAAGCTGGAGCCTTTTTGAGAAAACAAAATGGTTAAAAATTGCGTTTATATTAATCAAAATTATGCGAACACTACTCATATTTTCAAAAATTGACTAAGTACATATTCCATGATCTCTCTTTGAACAACAGGGTTTATTAGAAAAAAACTCTATCTTCAATACACAGAAAAAATCTTGAACTTTGGCAGTTTTCAAAACATGAGGAATTTCAACGAAAGTGAAACACGCACCATTTTTAAGAGTTCTTTACAATATCTGAGAGCAATGTTTAATAAAACAAATTTGAGCGAATTTTGAGGAAATTTTGGAAATGAATGAAATTTTGGAATGGAATCTTCTTGTAAACCATCCCCAAAATTAAAATATCCGTTTCAAACTCGTAGATCCTCACGTTCTTTTAAATTGATTGGGGAAAATCAATTTTGAAAAAATTGATAGACAGACGTTTGGCCGTCAATCGATTTTTCTGTTTCAAGGACCCACAAAATTTGGATTCTGACTACACAAAGTGTTAAAGGAATTAATATACAAAAACAAGATTGATCCACTTTTTCGTTACCAGGGCTCGACAGAAACGTTTTCGGTAGAAAAATCGCCGATTTCTGACACACGATTACTTTTTTTTGCGAAGTAAGGCAAGAAAGTAAAGAGTTGCGAAACCATTAGAAGCATCTAAAATCACCCATTTCACAATGCAGTGGATCATAAAAAATAAAAATGAAACATTTGTCCAAGATACAAGAGTGTTCCCTATTACACAAGAATCACAGTGCTAATGGAAAGTTTGTTAAGCTAGTGAGAGGCAAAGATGAGGAGTTTGGAATTCAATTGTATCAGGCATAAATTTGTATTGGCACGTTGCCACCTAACCTAACGTTACTATGTATCTGATTTGACTCTTCGCAACGCATTTTCTTGTTGTGACGGCAAGGCTCCTATCTTCGGTCTTCGCAGTTTACATTAACCAACCTCGAGTGTCCAAAGCATACTTTTCAACGCGTTTTTATGTTCTCTCGAACACGCAATGCATTCATACAGCTTTATAAAATCCGGCTGGCTAATGTGCGAATTAACCGGCTAATTCGCAAATTAACCAAACTTCGTACTTAAGCTGTATCATATGAACCAACCAAGGTAGCCGGGAACAAGTGTGGCCGACCTTCACTGTGGTAGAGAAGTCAGTAGCATGACTCAAAATGCAGTTAAATATGTTGCGGTACAAGGCTGAAGTCAAAATAAATGCACGCGTAAGTCCGTACGATGGGGTTGGGACCGGCAGCGATAGCCAGAGGAAAAGGGCAGGGCTCATGGGTGACGAGAAAGTAATTCGAAACGCCATGGAGAAAACTCATGCAGACGCTTGAGGCAAGTCGCATCGGAATTCCCGTTCCTCCCCGTTCTCCAGGTAGCCGCGCCCCTTCTTGTTCAATGTTACCCCCACTGCCTACGCCCCCGCAGTATCTGCCGCGCTGCGTTGTGGAGGGGCGCCGGCGCTGCTCATTCAATCGATGATGGGCGTGCAGAGAAGGGGAAAGAGGGGTGGCTAAACAGAATGAAGGCTATGCATCCCCGCTGGAGAACCCCCACTACAGTGACATTTTTGCTGTCTTCATCACCATGGAAATATAAAAGGCGATGCCCCTGATTCAGAAGATCAAGAGCAGCTCCGGGGTGGGTTTGGTTTAGTTTTGCTGGGTTTGTTCGGGGGGGGCGGGCATTGTTTGGTGTTGGTTCTTCCTCCCTATCTCGTGTCTTTTAGAAATATAATCGTGTGCGCGAGTGCGTGAGTTAAGGTGCGTGTGTGTAAAAGCTCTTACATGCATTTAATATCTGTCAATATGTTTGGCACTAATATGTTAATTTGTTTAAGTTTAAATGCTCCGCAGTTCCGCAAATTTCTTTTCAAATATACTCGATACATTCTCCAATTTTGTACTCGTCGCATCAACTGATCTGTTACACGCAGTGAATTGCATTTAATAAAGAAAGGGTTATTGACTGACCTCCGAATGACGACTTCAGTGAACCTAATATCATCATTAAAGCGGTTAGAAGAGGCGACTGGAGGGACCCACTCGCCCGACTGGTCTCCCGACAATTGTGACATTTTGCGACTGCGATTGAGGCGAAAGAAAAGAAGACGAGCTTGGTAAGCACCAGCAAAATGCCGCGTTGCCTGATGGCGAAGAAATGGAAAACATATCCTTGGGCAATGAGGGATACGGACGAAGGGATAATGTGTGGAGAGGGGACAACTGGCGGGGATAAGCATCTGGAAGATGAGGAAATTGACGTGGTTGGGGACGGCAGCTGGGCCGTCGGCCCTGCCAGCCCAACGGCCGGAGCCACTGCCCCCAGCCCGTCGCCTAGCATGCCTCCGAACCTGGGCCCCACGCCTGCGGCCGCCTCTACCGCAATTGTGGCAGCCACCGATTGTCCAGGCGCAAGCAGAGTGGCCGTCCTCTACAATGGTAAGTTATGCAGGGAGCGCGGTTGAGAACGCAGGGAACGCCCAAGAAGCCGTCAATATTTACACCTGTTCGCCAGTGCTCCACATACACAGAATCTATTATATCTTCATTGGGTACTTCCCGTTTACACACACATCTTTGTGGACAAGAATATATCATTGTTAACATCGATTATCGACAACAGTGCACCAAATTGCTATTTGATGAGAAGGTTCATGTTTCCTAAATAATTTTACTCCGGTATTTTTAAACACTGGATATTGTTTTTTGACATTTTATTATTTCCATAAATAACTACATTCATAAACTAATATATTATTTTTTTTACATAAAAACTGTCTTATTTAGAAGAGGTTAGTAATCTTTGCATATTTGGGATCACGAAGATAAATTGGCTTTATTGATCAAAGAAAACAATTCAAGACTTTGGTCACCAAGCCAAGTTTAGCAATAAACAAATATAAATTAACTTACTCTTGAGTACGTTAGGCACATTTTATATCTGTGGGTCAAAAGTGAAATCAATTGAAAAATTGTCGACCCTCTCCGAATTATTTGATAATTCATAAACTGGTTCATTTCATGTAAATAAACATTGAAAACCATTTATGAAGAGTTATTTTATTGGATATCATTGTAATGAGAAAAATATGATTTGAGTGATATTGCACAAGACCTATTTTTATAGATATCGATAATAACACATTAATAAATAATTCTGAATGCTCTAAAAAAATGAGATTTGTATATTCGACACATCATTAGGTTCTCTTTAAATTTATTTGCTTTTTTACGGGATTTAAGAAGTTGAAATTCATTACAATGGCAAACTTTAAAATTTACTCCTCTAAACCCTCCTCCTTTTAATTTTATGTTGGATGTAGCTTAGAATATCTCTCTAACTTCCCTAAATTATCTTGAGAAAATAATTGTTAAAAGTCATAGGCAAAGGTGAAAGTCGTAGGCAATAATGAAATGTACAGTTGCTTTCTAGATAATATGTGGTCTAATGGTTAATGAAATAACTGTGATGAAAAATTGTACTCTTCTTAAAAAATATTGCTTTTCAAAGATTTCAGAACGAGATTGTTCATAATGCAAAAATGTTGTACAGGCTATTTTCAAATGGAAAAACTGTTAAAGAAATTCAGACATTCCACATGTGTATTCGTCAGTTCAATGGATATGTTTTAACAAAGATGCATTGTTTCCAAGAGCACATGTGTTAAATGTAAGTGAAATTTTCAACAAGTACGTAGTGAATGTAGGTGCTAATCATTGAATTACAACCAGGTAATGATGTGATAATAATGAATAAATTAGAGATCATAAATATATATTTTTTTAAACATGCTCAATTCTTATTCAGAAAATGATAATATTTTTTAATACTTCATAATTTGCTTTAATTAATGGGTTAATTTTATTAATTGCAGATTGGCCACTAAGAGAAGAATGACTCTCCATTAAAGCTGCAGCTTCAGAAGAATGCCATTCATTATCTGAATAATATAACTTCATTTATTTCACTCTACCAAGATTTCAAATGTATTTGAAAGAAAATTTCAAAATACTAAATATTTAACAAGTACAAATATTTATAATTTTGATGATAATGATATTAAATAGTGTTCGGTTCTTATTTGAATGTATTCCAAAATATGGAAATAGGATGAACTGCTGCTTTCAAATGCACGTATGCACGCTTTCAAATAGACGTGTACTATTGAAATTTGTTTTTAAGAAGAGTACATTTTTTCATCACTTTTAATTTAAGAATAATTATTAGTTAGTTTTTGGTTTATGATATTATTTCTGACCAAATCATACACTGCAATTAAGCAACAGAAACTTTCTCATATTATTTCATCTGCAAAGTATAAAGTATTATTTTACTCTCATTTATCATTTATTGTAGTGGGTACAAAAATTGCAGAACTCGGGAAGTAATTTTACAATATCAATTTAAGTTTGGCTTTTGGGTTTGACATCCACAAAAATATTAGAGAACAGCAATTAAAGACATTAAGTAATTAATGGTCAACTGAAACAAAAATAATTCTAAAATTCATGACATTGATTTCCAACAAGATGAACTTTGCGCAGTTACTTAGAATTTAATTGTACCTCAGATCTAAGAGTGAAAACGTCTGTTCTTAAATAAGAACACTGACAGCATGTAATTATACTAAATTAATTTGTACTACACTACATAAAGTTTATTATTATAAATAAACTTATTGTAAATGATAATATTTACTTTATATAGTAAGGACAAAAATTATTTGTTCTCAATATAATAATGTACCTTGTGCAAAATATTCCTTGTTTCTATCTGCAACATTGTAACAGATATCTTTTCAGATTATTTTGCTTTCATGCTTTCCAGCTTCAGATTTTTCATAACGTATTGAATATCTACATTGCTTGGAGCAACATTTTTGAGTTTTCTACCAACTTGTTGTCTACGTCTTGTGATGGAGCCCAGCAATTTGGTGCAGTGGGTAGGGATTGTAAAAAATGAGTAGAAAGGTTGAAATTACTTCTGAAATCCCTTCAGTTTATATTTGGAATTAACATACTTAGTTTTTTTCCTTTCAACTAAGTGATCTTTAGTTCCTTCAAATAGATTTGTTGACACATTTTTAAAATTAATTTGAGTGTTCATAAAAAACAAGTAATGCTATCAAAAACACTGTTTATAAAATGTAATCCTTGAAATATGGAGTAAAATGAGTATCCACACAAAGTATTCACTGATTATTAAACTTCATTTTAAAGTTTTACCTAAAGCACTTTAAGCCAGACCAGACCAAGTTATCAGTTCTTCCTACCCCCAATTATATAATATATTTTTCATTTTTTCATGATGATCTTATATTTATTTCTGGAACTTATTTAAATGTATGCTGAAATTACTTCTGGAGTTACTGACAATTTTCAGAACAATTTCTCCACCATAAAATCGGAGCCAGGAAAAACAAATTTGAATTTGAGTTGCCTCCAACCCTGTTGTCATTCTTTGATGAAGGAATGAGTAAGATACACGTATCAGAATATTATGACTTATTTTTTTCTGCGAATGATGTCAATTTCAATTCAGCATCTCATGTTGTTGATGATGGGTTATTTTTGCATTGTATATTGTTGCAGACAATGAATCATTGTCTTCCATCCTGAAGAAATAAGTAGACAACCCCAAAGGGTACTTCAGAACAGTGGCGAGGCGTGCCATTTTTGCGTGGTCATCGCTTGCATTGTCTTGGGTTAATGTACCTGAAGCAACGAGAGGGAGGGGGACAAGGTGTCGCAATATCATAGTGTGTTCTGTTTTTAAAAAGCTCAAAACAAACAAAACAAAGCTTTTTTCTTTCTCTTCTTACTTCGGAAGAAGAGAAAGTATTGTATTGTATTGATTGATTGAGTAGTGATTCCGGACGCGCCAGTCTCCGGCCAAGGTCATTTGCCCCGGAGAGTAAGTTTTTAATCGGTGACCTTCCCCGCTGCCTGTCGAAATCCGGCGCCGACCCCGGTCAGATTGCGGGGATTTTCTCCAACCATGTTGCTCCCACCAGCGTGACACTGTCCCAGCCGGAACACGTTCTAAGCTCCCGTCATGTGTTGTAGGGTACTGCATGTGAGTTAGGGTGTGTATGTAAGGGGGGCAAACAAGGGGAAGGAAAGATCGCGCGCTGTCTGAGGCCCGTTTGTTAGGGTACTGCTCCGACATTCGCCTAGTATTTATCAGAGAAACCACGGAAACTACCGATTAGATCAGCCGCCCGCTAGAATTCTCCTCCAGATAGCGGTTGAATTCGAACTAGCTGTTAAGCTAGTGTCGAAAACCTGACACCGTCCGGATTCCAACCCTAGAACCTCCCGGTCAAAGGCATTGTAAGAAAGTATTGTCATCCTGCGCCGGGAAATGGCGATTTTTTTTATAGAAAACTCTGAATGCCGAGCCCAGGTAACGAAAAAATTGATAAATCCTGTGGCTGTATGTAGTAAATTACTTTCTCTAATACGCTGTGTAGTCAGTGTCCACGTGTCTGTGAATCCTTGAACCAGGAAAATTGATTGACGGCAAAACGTCAGTCAGTCTGTCTGTCTGTGGTCAACGCTAGCCCCTAGTTAAAACCGTTCACACAATTTTCACCAAAATTGATATTCCGCGATCGATCGATCGATTTAAAGGAATTCGCAGCCCTGCGAGTTTGATACGGATATTTTGGATTTCACATGAAACCTCAACAATATTTTCAAAATTTTAACAAAAATGGCCTCATATTTTTTAATTAAACGTCACCTTCAGTAGCGTAAAAGGAACTTAAAATAATGTTTCCGTTCTTATTTTTGTTGAACTGATTTTTGGAAAATTGCAAAAGGTCACAATTTTTTCGGCGATTTCCTACAACTACAGTATTGAAGATAGATATTTTTTCGTGATTAAAACTGTTCTTGAAAGCCAGTTCTTGAAATCAGCTCATGTACAATTGTTCGAAAATATGAGTATTTTTCGCATAATTTTACGTGAAATAGTTTTAAACAATTATTTATCAAAAAGGGTTTAATTTTTTTCTAGCCTAGCGACTGCGTGGTGGAGCGGTAAAACACATCAAGTTATCCAGATGGTAATGAGTTTGATACTACCCGGAAGAAATTTAGGCTGGTTGGAAACACTTTTGCAGTTTCACGTAGTATAATCTTGTGGAGCCGTTACAAATAATGCGACAAAGTATGTACTGTTGTAACAGCACTAGTTGTAGTATTATATTCATTATTTTAATTAGTATTCTGAGCTCCTTTAATGCAATATTGAAATTGAAAATGTAATTAATTAAAATTTGCTCTCCTCTTCCATGCAAAAAAACAAACAAAAACAAGTGGTGCTAAATAGCACATACTTTCTCGCATTATTTCTAAATGCTCCGTCATAGTATACTTCCAAATTATTTATTTATTTATTTATTTATTTATTTATTTATTTATTTATTTATTTATTTATTTATTTCATTAAGAAAAAATATCTTCATAATTTTAGTTGTAGTAAGACGTCCAAAGAATTGCGAATTTTTTCAATTATCGAAAAATTAAGGATTTTCACGAACATTAAACATGCGCCATTCTCGTAAGCGTCATATAGGATATTGAAGGACACAAGTTAATAAAAAGTATCCAACAAAAAATAATTTTAAAAAATGGAACCATTCTTTTGAACATTTGAAAAATGTCCCGTGAACTTCATGTAAAGTTACTCTCAAATTTGAAATGTCGGTTTCAAATTCAAGGGGTCGCAACATCAGCCTGATCGTTTGGGGAGTAAACATTTTGGAGAAAATTGGCTGGACTGTTTTGCCGCTAGCGTTGTTCACAGGCGGACGGACGTTTTTCTGCTATTCGATTTTTCGGTATCAATGACCCACGAAACATGGATTCTGACCACACCACATGTTAGAGGATTGTTTTCCTAAATTTAGAAACTGGATTTATCCATTTTTTCGTTACCCGAGCCCTGTAATGAGAGTTTTTCTGCCGAAAATTCGACGTTTTCCGCGCAGCATTGCATAACTTTGTCTCTACTGAATATAGTATTGTAATTGTAGGAAGATTTGAACAGCTTTTTTTGTATGTTTCAAAAACAAAGAGATTGAAACTAAATTGAAATCTACCCCATTTTAATAGTTTCGTTGGAAAAAGTTTAATAAAAAATAAGTAATTCTTTACAAAATTTTGAAAACGTTGATTATTTTGATTTTTGGAACTTTTATATGATATATAAAAATTCAAAAAATCAAAATAGTTTTAAACTCGCAGGGAGTTCCTACAGGTGAATATCAATTTTGCAGGAAGTCGTCTAAACGGCTTAGGCGTTAATGTCGACCACAGACAGATAGACGGACAGACAGCCTTTCTGCAGTTGATCGATTGATTAGTCATTAGTCGTCAAATGATTGATTAGTGATTTCTTGTGCGTTAAATACTTAGGTAATTCGTCCCGAAAGTGTAGCGCATGTTTTGCCATGGGCGGCTGCGGTTATCTTCCCCACTGGACAGCGAGATCCGGCGCCGGTCTATACGTCAGCTTGCGGGGTTTTATCTCCCACCAGTATGGCACCGCCCCAACCAGGACAAGCTCCAAGCTCTCGACTGGTCACTCGAGAAGTGTGGGAGCGTAATCCATGTGAGTGTATGTGTGAGTTGGCAAGGACAAGAAATAGGAAGGAAAGATCACCCGCGATCTTTGTTAGGATACTGCTTCGGCAATCGCCTGGTGTTGATGAGGAAAACCTCTGAAAAATAATAGTCAGAGTAGCCGGCCACTAGACTTCTCCCCCAGATAGCTGCTGAATGCATTCTAGCTATGTAGCTACGGTCGAAAATCCTGCCACCGTCGGGACCCAAACCCTAGGATCTTTCGGCCAGAGGCGCCGCATTAGTTGATTTTCTGAGCCACCTTTGCCGGAGCCGTCATTCGATTTTTCTCTATCAAGGGCCCACAGTACGAGGTTTCTGATTACAAGTGATAGAGAACATATTGGACGTACATAACTACATATATGAACCACTTTTTCAATACCAGGGCTTTACCATCTATTGATTCGGCTATGACAAAAAACAATTATAAAAATTATAAATGTTCAACTTTTAGAGAAGATTACAGAATAATAAAATTGTACAGAAGTTTTAGCGGTAATAGTAAAAGGGCTAGGAAATGAAACAACGAGCAGCATGAGTGCATCGCTTTGAGAGCTCGCCTCCGCTCACGGTGATTCACCGTGTAGCTTCGTCCGGCATGCCTTTGCACGGCCAAAAGCACTCCAGTCGGCACTTTTTTAGCAGAATCTCGTCTGTACATGGCCATGCATAGTGAAACGGTGCCTTGTGTATTTTATCAAAGAATACTCGCAAGTGGATACGTAATGTTGAATGTTCGTATTTACACATGTATATCTTATAAATTCATGAACGTCAGTATAATGGTATCAAACACGTCCCGCATTATTTTGGAAGAGAGATGACATATTGATCTTTTTAAGAATTCATCAAGCCGATCTGGATGGCCGAGGTGGCTAAGAGCGTGCACCGAACGGTCGTGTGTTCGATTCTCGCCTTCAGAATGGTTGTTTACCCTTTGTCTCCAATGTACTATGCGTTGTCACCTCGCGAGAAAGAAAGATGATGCAGGTGAAGAAAAGAAGAAAAAGAGTAATTGTGTGCCAGAAAATGTCGAATTTTCGACAGAAAATCTCTTATTGCCGACCTCTACTTATCGAAAGAGCGGATAAATTGTGTTCCTATATATAGTAAATTACTTCCTCTCACACGTGTCACAATCGATTAACGTCAAAACGTCTGGACGAACTCAAGGCTTTGGGAGTATGATGGTACTATACACGAAGCCTCAAAAAGATTTTAATTTTCTAATATGGCTCAAATTTTTGGAATCAACTCTGTCCCCGGATAGCGTAAAGAACGCTAAATAATAGTGCAAGTTTTATGTTCGTTGATATTTGTGCATTTGCTTTGGGAATCTTCCTACAACTGTAATACGAAAGAAATATTTTCTTCTTAATTAAAATTGTTCTCTATAGACAAATACTGTAATAAGTTCTTATTCAATTTTTCGAAAATGTGAATAAAATTCGTGTAATTTGGAAAGAAAAATATAATTTTAAAGTGTTTTTAACAATTTTCTCTCAAAAACCGCACCAATTTTTTTTCTACAAAATTTCTCCACATATTT